AGATGCTCTATTTTACCTCCTGAATAATATGCAGTTCAATAAAAGCTTTAGAAATCAACAGAAAGTACTTTGGTTTTTGAAAAGTTTTTCTAGAAGCCTTCTGAAGTACAAGATTAACTTTTACTATGCTCAAGTAAAAAAACATATAGAGCAGCTAAAATAGAGTATCTCTTGATATTCTGACATAATTTGAATGAATCTTGACTGACGAATGCGTTTTCTAATTTTACACGATAATAGGCAGGCAACAATGGGTTATTTCACCTAATAGCGTTTTAAACTTTTTTCGAGAAACACACATTACCACGAGATTCTCCGTAATCGATTACCTATGTTTCCATTCGTTTCTGGAATTACCACACCTAAAGAAATATCTGTCCTGGGACTCTTAGGAAATCCAACGCCACGTCTGAAATAGGAAAAATTAAGAGTTCGCTTAGTTCTCATTTTGGAGGAGATACTTTAGACTATCTATCTATGAAAAAGACTGATAGATTGCTATGTCAGTTTCCGGAGATCCGAACTTGTTTTCCAAAGATCTCCTAGGAAATCGGTCTTTCGAATACTTTCGGAAAACTGTTTTACTTATAAAAATATAGACTAAACTGTTCCATTTTCATCGCTGGAAACCGTCAAGCTCTATCTTTTGTTATCTATGAGTTGGTCGAAAAGCAACTGAGTGCATTGTATTTTGGGATGGATAGTAGTTCTTGAAAATCATTGCTTCAGAGCCTTACCAAACTCTGAAGCGCAGGGAAAATATTATAAGTGTACACAATCGATATAGCTCTATCAAAAGAACGACTCAGATTTGTTTAATTCGAAACATTTTTTTTATGGTGATTTTTTTCTCAAATGGTACAATGGCAATGCAATTCACTCATATATTAGATTCTGTCCGGCAACATAATTAACAATTTTGAAAACAAAATAAGGTAAAGATAATTGGGAAGTTAGCGACCATCATAAAGGACAATGTCTCATACTAGCATGATTTGACATGCGTTGAGTCGATAATTATTAAAACTAAAAAGAGTTGATATTATAATACTGAAACTTTTTTCATTTTCATAGTGTAACGAATATTTTTTTTACCTCTCGTAGTAGTAGTACTTAAACACTATTTATTTATATCAGGCAATAACGGTATATTTGTTATGTCATATCAGTTTTTTTAAAAATCACATAAATTGGTTTTCATTCTAATTTTGGTTTCGATCTCTGAACATTTTTGCTATTGCTTTGTGTGCAGCTGCATTAATCAACCAATGTTCCTTTTTTGATTATTCTTTTAGAACAAGCCGTATCCCATACTGAAATATTTCTTCTATTTCTTCTGATCATTTCTGTTACAGTGTCTATTATACCGTTCTTTTACAAAAATGGTTGAAAAAAAAGTAAATGACTGCATTTAAAAAGGTCACCATCTGATAGAGAATACTTTGAAGTATGAGAAAAAGTGGTTTCACAAACTACCAGTTTTTTCTTTTGTCTGATTTAGAGACCGAAAGGCTTCTGAGAACTTACTAAGGGACCTTTTATCTTCTTTGAGTGAAAAATGGTGATAATCAGGAATTAAGATGATCTTATAGATTTCGAAACATTTCCTTTCGAGTTACACATCCAGAAGAAGCACAAAAATAATCAATTTTAGAGAAATTTTTTCTTGGATTTCCAACCAGACAGGAAGATGATACAACCAGAGAATGGAACATTTCACTATACTTTTTAAATAATTTTCTTCAGGAATGAGTTAGAGTTTTAATATTTGCAATATAAGTTGTGTTCCCCATTTGACATTTGTGGTAAAAATATCAGCTTTTGGCCGCTTCCAAACACACTCTGTTATACTCAGTTTTTCACGCTTTTTCCGATGGTGACAAAATAAAACAAAAGAAAGATGGCAGTTTTTTAAAAAGTGCATGGTTTTTGGTCCCGATGCAAGGTAAACTGAGAAAATGAACTTTTTTTCAAAATTTTGGCTACTGAACGAGTGTGTATCTCACACAATCCTCGTTATCTTCATTTTATTCATCATCTTCATGACCTTCCTCGTTGTCTGAATCATTTTCTATTTTTTATATATGTTGAAAGATGACAACTGAGATTTGGTTTATACTTCCTAACCTGTTATTTAAATTCATAAATCAAACACACACACACTGGATCCAGTTGCAAGAACGATCAACGATATTCAGTGATCATACACGGTTTGAAAGTTTACTACCTAAGTCTCATTCGAATTATGAAACCGTTGATTGTAAGCATAATAGGGCCACATTTAAATAAAATGATTAAAAAATTAATAGTGACCGAAGCATAATACAGATGTGAACTTAAAGACAATTTTTCTACTGATACTATTGATTGTCTTCAATGTCAATTAAAGTTTTTCGTGTACTAGTCCCACTCTAAAATTCAAGAAAAGTATATAGATTTATAGAGTTTTTCAAGACCTATCGAATATAAATGATCTCTGTTCTGCAGTTGAATGATCTCAATCAAATACAAATACTGCGGATTACCTGGCATTAGATTTGGTACTCTATCAAAGTTTGATCAATTTCTCTGTACATTAATAACCCCAAAATATTCTTAAAACACAGTTTTGTAGCCCGCGAAAAATTCTATCTATTATATATAGCATCAAATTAGTTTGGCGAGTAATAAAAATTCAAAATAGTGAAAAGTTTACTTTCTTCATCAATCAACTTTCAAATTTTCTGTCTGATCAAGTCCGATATCCTTAGAATGAACCCCGAACATAGGTTACCGACCATGCCGGATGTTGTGGCAACGTTGGTTTCCAGAAGAGAACGCTAGAATCAAATAAGAACTATAGGAGGTAAAATAACCCATTTTCGCTATTTCTATCGAAAATGCAACAATAGTGTTAGCATTTCAACGATTATTAACCGGCTTGTCCACGCAATAGGATGTCATTCCGTCACGCATATCTGTAATGAATGAGGAATCGAACAGCTTTGCAATAGCTCATTTTGAAAAGCACAACTCTTCGTCCAAAATCGCTAATGCATTTGGTCCTAGACACTGAGTCGTTTGTACGTAATGAAAGAAACAAATCGTGACGGAATCATGTTTTACGTAGACAAGCCGTAACACATTTTGGAATTGATATCCATCGTAGTCGAGCTGGATTAGGTGAATATTATTTAAAAACAAATGCAAATAGATTTACATGTGATGAAGATAATATTAATGATGAATCAGTTTCAATAAATGATATAGTTAAACAATTACAAAATGAATTATTTAGTCTTAATAACATTGTACGAAATGATGATATGAATGAATCAACTGAAACTGAAGGTAGACATAACGATGGTTTATCTTCTTGCTCAAATGAATCTAATCCATAAGTATGATCAGTTGATCCAGAATTATTGACACGAATATCATCCCATTTTAAAACCATTAAACGTTTTTCAATAGGTAAAGTATATTTATCTGAAACAATTGAATACAAATGACTATCGAATTTTTCACAGAATTGTTGCATAGTTTGAACACGCAGGGTTGATAATTCATTATTTTTTATACGTCCTGATTGCTTTTCCATAATAAATTGATCATGAGGTGAAAAGATTACTATGTGTAAAACAACACTGGCCTCTTCGATAACACGTTCAATTTTGAAAGTATCGGTGGGTAATTGCATTGTTTTGCAGAGTGCTGAACAGAAGCGTTCTTGGATAGAACGTACATTCGATGCCCATTTATTGTAATCAGCCTCAAGGCGTTTTATTAATGTAAGATCTTCAAGTAATAATCATGAACAAAATTGATTAAGTTTCATTATGTCTTACCTTTTGCTTCTTCTTTCTAATCGATTAGCATAGGCACGAATTGTTTGGACATTTCCGATTGTTGAAATACTTTTCTCAATTTCTTATTTAATTGAAAGTCATTTGCTAAATTGATAGAAAATTGACATAGAGCACTAACTAACTCAGTTGCTAATGCTTGTTGCTCCAAACGTCGTTGTTCAACTTCTAGTTGAATATGATGCAATAATTGTACTTCTCGAAAAAAATTTTCTTTTTGTCGACGTTTTACATAATTTTGAATAAATTGAAGTGCACTAGATGTATCTGTCATTCGATAGAGAGAATCAATTAGATGTTTTCCAGTACTTGAATCTTCATTCATTTGATGAGTAAATCTAATAATAAGTTTCTGTCGACTATCCCAAAGACGTACACGCTTCATAATACATTGCATAAGTGAACTTGTCTCAGAAAATCCAGATGTATCACTTACATTGGTACTCTTACCAACTAATCTATTAAGTTCATTTGCATAACCATAATGTTGTCGAAACCATGGTATAATACGAGAAGAATAATCAATCGGGGTATTATAGTCGATCATGTTAAATAAATGAGTTAATTCACTATCGATACATGCAATTTGTTGACGTATTTTATTACTAGCCGTTCGTATGTCTTCATTATTTTGCTGGTTATTACTTCTTGTCGATGATATTTGAGCAATAATATCAATATCTGCTTTAATATTATCAAGAGCTTTTCGAAATCCATCCTCAATTATTTGCCGTGTCTTATTGATAGCCAAACTATTTTCATTAAGATCATCTGAGAATTGTTCTACGAATGCTTCTTCTTACTGATTGATAAGTACATCATCATCTTGTTTTTTTTCTTTAATTTTAGTATGTTGCCTTAGAACATTACGTTCCAATTCAGCAACATGCTTGATAGTCTCAGTCAGTTGTTCATCAGCAAAACGCTTCAAACAAAATTCTAAACCAGCATCCATCGAATTTCACAAATAATATTGCTCGAGAAAAACAAAAAAATTACAATGAAAGTAAAGATATCATTTCATTATTTGTGTCGTATATTTTAATCATGATAAACTGAAAATATTTACTTTTACCTGTCGTGGAGGTGTCTCGACAACAGACGATCTTTTCTCTTTGCACAATGATATCTACGTCAACCCGTTGCCAACCAAATATAATTCTTATGGTTATGATGAGATGTTTTATCTATGAATTGGTGGTTTTAACAAAACACACCGTCAAATATCATATTGAAAAATGGGTTAGATTTGCTTTTTAATTATGATAGTGAATAAAGTCTTTATATGATCTTTCAATCACTGGACATAAGATATGTTTTCAAAGTTAATATTTGTCAAAGAAATTGATCCTTGATCTTATCAAAGTTATCAATAAAGTATTGTTTATGTCAAATAACATCCTCTAAAAAAATGATTAATCTGATTATATATATTCATAAATCGAAATGAATGAATTTATAAAGATATCTATATTCTGAAAAAATGTCTCAAGCAATATCAGTCTTTATAGATTGTTAGTATTCGTACTCTAATATGTTAATACGATTAAAAAAAAAGCGTTCTAATCGTGTGATGTGAAAAGTTGTATTGTTACTTCTGTTGTCCAAACGATGCAATAACTTTCGGTGGTCCAACTTGCAAAAAATTATTTTTGACTGCTGAACACATGTATTTCTGTTTCATGAGTTTGTCTGAAAGTCGATGAGGTGTCAGTCGTGGTGGCGTAAAATGCATGAAATCACGTCGAAGAGTTGCTGATGCATGTATAATATATAGAGATAATGATGATGGTTGTTTTAATCCAAGTTTCTGATGAAATACTTCTCCACCAACGATATAGAGCATAGCATTGAGAAAAACTTCGATTATTGAAGATGGTAAAAGAAATCCATACCATTTGTTTACAAGTGTATTAATAGCATTAGTTAATATTCGTCCTGATTCTGTTTCTGTTGCAGTAATGTCACTATTTGTATAATTTTCAACAGTAGTATAAACCTCTGCTAATGATGTTGGCAGATCTTTTAAATTCATATTTTGACCAACTTGTGCATAGAAGACAAATAAAGCTTCTTTTTCTTGATCATCTAACGGTCTCCATCCAAAAACTTCAATCATTCGTATTGTATCAACAACAAAACAACATAAAACATAAACAAAATCTTCATTACGTGTTCTTGTACTGAATACTCCATGAATATTATTTAAGTGTTTGAAACTTGCTTGTGCTTCTTCACTATCTATTCCATAATCAACCCATGCATGCATTATTATATCAGTATCATTAACACGTTTTTCTGTATCACCTGCAATTGTATTTGTTTGTCTGTAAACTGTTGAAATTGTTGGTGATACAAATGTACGATAGAATGCCAAATTAATACCATAAAAACATTCAAAAGGAAATTCAAAACAACATAAATGATGATAGATTTGTTCAGCATTAAGATTCGACAAATTTCGTTTATATTGTAAATACCATTGGACACGTATTCGATAAAAATAATATAGAATACATACGATGATCAACAACAAAAACACGAACGTCCACATGTTACCTTCAAGCTATTCAAATCAAAATAAAAACAACAACTAGAGGTAAACAAATCACTCGACTATGATGATCAGTTTTTTTCTGTTCTGTCCCGTCTTTCTTTCTATGTTTTTATTACATCGTACATTCATAGCAATGTCACTTGCGTGATACTCGTCTGAATCATATCAAAGTCCGAAACGAGGCAAAGTTTATTGCTTCGCCTCACCTCGAGTGCATTTTGAAAAGTCTGCCTCGCTTCGTCTTATGAAGATTCCACATACATTGCTTTGAAACCACTGCGCATATTAAAAGCATGCACTACCGTTTCTCTTTGTTGATAACCTATAATGCATGAGGATATTATGGTACTAGAACACATTCTCGTACTTTCGATATGCTGCGTGCACTGTACAAATGAATTGAAGGTGTGACTAAACTGTCGAAGGGTATGGGCGACAGCTTAATTAGTTTATCTGATTCAGCTTTGTTGTCTAACAAGCACACAAAAATTATTATTACAGTGAAAAAAGAAAATCAGACAATAGAGATTTACTCTTGAGGGTGAGGGCTATTAGTCGGGGCGAGGCGTCTTGTGAAAGATTCGCTTCGTTTCGGACTCTGGATCATATTAATCGATAGAAGTACAATCATACATCAATACATGTATTAAGAAGAAAAACATTTAAGCATTTTATTTTCATATTCGTATTCATTTACAATTAAAATTTACCCATAAAAAATATCTTTCATACAAGATGTTTGATTTTATTACGAAAAAAAATCTTTTTATAAATGTCGGACAAACTTTTTATTCTTTCATGTCCTGTAACTATATCTTAATTATATTCGGAAGTGATCTATAGTTTTCCATGATAATGAACAAAAAACTCATTGATTTTTTTTCTTCGTAAGTTTTGGTATGTATGAAATGAAATCATACATGTAGCGATATCTACTGAAAAACGATATGGATAGTTGAAATGTTTGATAAAGAAATTTGAAAAAGCAAATCAGTCGATATTAAGGAAGAAATCATTTGTTGAAGTATAAAATCTTAGAAAAAATGAATGAATCTTTGTCGATATCATCAGATGATTCGTTTGAATTATCAATGAAAGAAAATAATAATGAAACATTGCTTCTTATTCATTATTATTTGATAAAGACAAACACAATTTTTCTACAAGTTCACAAATTTCTTATATAAAAGAAGCATCACCACGAACAACAACAGCTGACTATAATGAAACTATTAGAAAAGACATATCGACAAGCATTGATCATTTATCAAAAGAAGAAGCTGTCAAATCGAATCCTTGGTTATTATTATTTATGCAAAATGATCAACAACTGACAGAAGGTTTTCGAGTAAATATCATTTCTAGTTATTCTGATTAAAAATAGTTATTTTTCGGTAATTATGGATGAAATTTGTAGAATGAAAACGAAACGATGACTGGAGAAGAATCACATGATGAAAAAGGTAATTAATGCAAAAAAAGGACTGCACTTGTCAAATACTTGTTCCTTTTTAGCGAGGCGTAGAGAAGGTTTTCTACAAGGTCCATTAAACATGAAAACAAAGGTTTATTATGGAGAAGAACAAAAAGAAGGGTCTCCACCTAAAGGGTATTTGAAAATACTAAAATAATATTCATATTTTTTTTATTTCGAATAATTTTGCGTTCTGCTGTTTGTCACTTGATCGGACATCAGTTCGTCCATTTAGTTGCTTTTCTCTATGCCCTTTCTTGATTCACGACACTCAATTTTCTTTTTTTTCTTCGTCTCTTTTTCCTCTGCGTTTGTCGCCGTTGTACATATATATATAATAAATATGTATGTGAACTTGCCCCGTCAGTATAAAGTGATCATTTCTTCTTTTTTCTCTTCATATCGTCGTCAGAGAAGACCCAAGGAGAAAAAAAATATCGACTATCGGGCGATCTAGCTAGCTAACTCAATATACTACCCGATATACCTAGCTAGCAATTCGAATTGGGTTATTTACTATCGGGCGATATAGCTAGCTAACAC